ACCAAGCTTTGATGCACAGTCACTGTGCATACTTCACAGTGACTGTGCCAAAACATCTACACATGCAAACATGTGGAGTTTGGATGATAGCTTGGCTGGAGCATGCTGCATTTCAACTGCAGGAAGTTGAGCAAGTTTTTTTTGCAGTGAGAAAGTTTTTTTTTCAGTGTTGAAATTTTGTTTTCATCAAAGATCACCCAAAGTCTTCAACCTTGTTTAGGTCCATTGTCATACTTCTCTTTCCTTTCTCATCACTCCTATTTTCATCTTGTCTCATCTTTTCTTTTCCATTTATGGTTTCATTATCTTGTGTTGTTGCAGCTGCCCATTTGCTTGCTTGCTCACACACACTCAATCATCAAAGACCACAAAGTCTTATACATCAGTCCACAACATCCATCTCTGATTTTCTGAAAAAAATATTGATGAACTAGAAAAATTCACATCAAGTTTACACCAGGGATGGCTCTTCAAAACGGATTGGCATCAGATCCTTATCTGGCAGAAGAATTCAATTGCAGGGTTGAGCTGGCCTACAAAAGCTCTCCGGAGGTTCAGGTGATGGATTTCAACAAAATATTTTGCCTCATTGATGTGATCAGGCACCAAAAAACACTTACACAACTGCTTGCACCACTTCTGCCCCCCCTGCTACTCCCTTAGCTCTGCGGGCAGAAGCATCACCTGAATTGTACCCACCTGTTTCAGCCTAACCAATCTTCTAATCATCCTGAAAACCCACCAGATGATTTTGATTTAATGGTGTTACAGGAGGGAGTAGGCTGGTAATGTTGGTTGCCCAAGGATATGCTGATTTTCCCCTTCAACAACACCCAACCCTTGGATGTCATACCATCCACTCCAACATTCCAACTGCCCGGGAACCAGCTGGGTCCCAGACCAATAAATAACTGCCTGATGACAGGTGACATGAGGCTACTGAATTGATTCAATTCAGTAAAGGAATATTGAATCAATATTGGCTGATTTCAATATAGTGTTACTATGTATAGTAGCCTCTAGATCACTTTGATCAATAATCTTACATACCTGATACAACCTCTGATAATGGATAAGAAACTCAGTGGGATTGATTATGTGAAAGGATAACCCTCAAGACTAATACTAATACTGATACCACTACTACAATAATGAATATAGATGCCACCACGAGCTGATTTTATACTACTAATGAGCTAGTTGAGACACATTTTTTGACTATGAATTGACTGCTAAGCTGTTTTTGAAGCCCTTAAATCACCTGTAAATTCCTAGTTTTGACTCTACAATTCCTATCCTGTTACTACTACTTGTTGTTACTAATGCACTACTACTGTTATTATTGTTTTAATACTGTTACTCAGTCCTTACAAAAATAAGTGTTTCTGGAAATACTATTAACACTCAACCTTATAAGGGAAACACTACTACTACTAACTAACCAACCACTAACCACAAGCTAATCACTTGTAGATCAGGACAGGCTCCCCTGAGTCTGTGTTGGAAGGGGGGATCTGGCTGGGTGAGACCCTTCTTTTATGTTGAAGAGTGAGTGATTTTTTCTGCAGGGGAACTCCTTGGATGAGCACTTCCTGCAGGGGATCTGGTCTGAACAGCCTCAGGTGATCTTTTGCCATATTGCCCAAGCAAAAATCCAAATTCTGCCATACATAATTAAAAAAGGGGGTTCAACCCACAACACAGCCCCTTTAGTTCTGCGGCCCACTGAATTTTTCAGTTCTGGTCCAGGTGGGTTGTTGAACCAATTTTCAGTACACAAATGGTTGCAGGTCAAATTTGTAAAATGAAGATTTGTTTAGTTAACTTTTCTGGGGTTCAAATTGAAATTTTTTTGATGATAATAATGATTATTCCTACACCTTTTAGGGTGGATCATTCAATGGTAAAGTTCATTTTCCCAAAAAAAAATATTTTAATATTTTGGGTACTCTGATTGCAAAGAAATGCATTTGGGTCATTTTAATTTTTTTTCTCACAATTTCAATAGTTTAAAACCCAATGGTTTAATTTATTTGAGGTTCAATTTCAGAAAATCTTGTGAAAAAGAACTGTGGAAAAAGTCCAAAAAAAATTGTAACATAACACCCCCAAAAAAGGGAGAGTTATTACATTTAACATAAAATAGATTAAACCATTGTGTCTTAGTGTATTAAACTGTTGAGATTGTGGGGAAAAAATTAAATTGACCAAAATTCATTGCTTTGCAATTGGAAAAAAAAAACATTCATAAATCCAGGTTTAGTGCCAAGAATATTAAAACATTGATTTTTGGAAAATAAACTTTGCCATTGAATTCTTCACCCCAAGACATGTTAAATTTGACGCTCCAAAAACAAAGGGGTTTCAACATGCAACCCAATATGTGCACCCCACAGGACATTGCGGCGGTCAGGGTTGCGGGTCAAATATCTAACTTTTCTTTTTCATTAATTTTTTTTGGGGGTCAAATTGAAACAAATTTAATGATAATAAATCTTTCTCCTACAATTTTCAGGGTGAAGAACTCAATGGTAACATTTATTCTTCCCAAAAAACAATATTTTAATATTTTTTGGTACTACACTTGGCTTTCTGAATGTTTTTTTTTTCTGATTGCAAAGCAATGCATTTGGGTCATTTTAATTTTTTCCCAAACTTTCAATAGCAATGGTTTAATCTATTTTAGTTTGAATGTAATAAATCTTCCTCTTTGTGTTATAATTTTCTTTTTTTGGAATTTTTCCACACTTATTCACAGGATTTTGTTGAAATGAACCTGAAATAAATTAAAACATTGGGTTTTTAACTATTTAAAGTGTGGGTAAAAAATCAAAATGACCCAAATGCATTGCTTTCCAATCAGAAAAAAAAACATCCAGAAAGCTAAGTGTAGTGCCAATTTTTTTTTTTTCTTTTTTTTTTGGAAAAAAAAAAAATTACCATTGAATTATTCACCCTAAGAAGTGTAGGAATTATTATAAAATTTGTTTCAATTTGACCCCCAAAAAAATTGATGAAAAAATATTCTGCTTTTTAGAAATTTGAACTGTGACCCTCATTTGCGTACTGCAAATTGGTTCCGCAACCCACCTGGACCAGTGCCGCAACATCCAAAGAAGGTTGGTTGGGTGTCAAACCTCCAAAATAATATTCTTCTTTTTAGAAATTACCTGCGACCCCCATTTGCCTACCTCAAATTGATTACGCAACCCACCCAGACCAGCGCCACAACATCCAGTGGGTTGCTGATCCAAAGAGGGTCTGCTATGGTCAAGGTTTGAATGTAGATTGCTAACTGAAACCCCTGGAAATTCCCAGAGGGGGTTACGAGATCATAACATTATCCCCCCTTTATGCCCTAGTCCCTGGTGGACTCTGCATCTTCCCCAGGCAGCATTAAAAACCCTGGATGTTGGGAAAAAAGCTTGCCCTCTTGCTACTACCGTTTCCGTTGATGTTGTTGATGCTTGCTGGCTGTGTTGGGGAACCAAGTGTCAAATTGACTGAACTATGCCTTGCAGTTCTTCAGGTTTTCCACTGGTTCCCAGGAGTTTTCTTGCGGGCCAAATCCTTTCCAGCTTATTAATTACTGCCACTGTTTTCCACGCATTTGACAGTCCAGAATCTCTTCAACCTCCCATTCAATGTTTTCCTTAATGATGATG